AAAAATAATAAAAACAAATAAGTCAGTGACGTACATTTTTAAGTCAAAAATATTCGTTCAAATCCCGCTCAAGACGCCACTGGACTTAATAAATAAACAAAACTAGGTAAAGGATATTTAAGATATTCACGAATAACTTTTTTTTTATTTTAACACCCTGTATCTTGAGAACGAAGGATTTGCGGACCCATGTTTATATGAACATTTCGTCTTGAAATTACCTAGAGAATCGCCTGGTAAATTTATGGTACATACTTAATTAACACCCTGTATATTGACTATATACTAAATACATTTTTTTCCCTCAGACTGCCTCATGATCTTGTTGCGTCTTTTCCTCATCAATTTCATGACACCCATTTCAACAACCTAATTCTCTGTACTATTTTGTGAGGTCACTTGTTGGCTGGTTATCATTTTCTTCTGGGCACAGTGTAATTGTCCATAGTTGTTATATATCGTACACTTCAGATGTCACATATCTCTTCAAAAACATCTAGAAGCGTGATATCAGGTGATCTTTCAGAGGGACCATGTTTGCCTATCGACTAATTTGAAAAATGTTCATATATAGACACTTTGAAACCTGTCTTTTGTAGTGAGGCGGTAGCTCATCTGGCTGGAACGTACCATCAGTTCAAAACTAATTGCGGTTTGTCAAATTTCCTAACCGGTAGATAAGCAAACGTGGTTCCTTGAAATGGCTTAGTGTGAAATTTTTCTGAGAAGAAACGTGGTACAATGTACAATTCAGGGGGACATACGACACGGTCTCTGTAAAAGCAAACAATTGATATTTTCAGGAATTTTTCCATTTCAATATATGTATATTGGTTAAGGCTGCAGAAAAAAATCATTTTGGAGTCTGCAGGGTGGCTCAAAAAGTGTGACATATCAAAGTTTTGTTTTTTAATGGAACACCCCTGTGTTACAAGGTACTATGTATCTAACAATAACCGTTCTCGAGTTTTTGATTTTTTTATTCAAATGGTAGGTACAATTGGAAAGTAAATAACATCGAAATGCATATAAACCATCCTTTTGAATTCTCACCAAGCAAAAAAGAGGTTATGGGCTATTGATTTCGATAAAACCTGTTTCTCAATATTATACAGAATGTTCAAAAATCATTGTCACTTTCTTATAATTTCGGACAAAAGGTACTATGTATCTAACTATAACCGTTCTCGAGTTATTGATTTTTTTATTCAAATGGTAGGTACAATTGGAAAGTAAATAACATCGAAATGCATATAAACCATCCCTTTGAATTCTCACCAAGCATAAAAGAGGTTTTGGGCTATTGATTTCGATAAAAGGCGTTTCTCAATATTATATAGAATGTTCAAAAATCATTGTCACTTTCTTATAATTTTGGACAAACTTTGTTATTTCGAATAGAACACCCTGTATTTTATTGATCTGAACAATAAAAAATTCAATCATCTTCCATTTCATTTTGGGGTTCCTTATACCTATATACCTAACCTAAATAGTTTTTCAGATATTGGCTTTTTCAAATAGTAGTTCTTATTTAAATGCATTCTTTGAATCAAGATAGCTTTGAAACGATATTTATTTGATTTGTCCACATAATTCTCATTGACAATTGTTATTATACTTCACTTCATCGAAAATATTAACTGTTTACTAAAATAAAGTTCATCCTCACTAAACTTGTCAAGAACCGATATACAAAATTTGATTCATCATCTAATTCCTGGTGCATCCTGAATATGTTATGGGTGAAATTTCTATTTTTTCATTACCCTAGAAATGCTGCGTCTGCTTATCCCTGTATCTTTTTCGACCTTTGTTGGTTGACTGGCATGAGGGTTTTCTATGATNAGGTTTATTTTGGTTAATATAATTCTTATTTTCAGCTATTCATTTTTAATTCTTTTCTTTTAGTTGTTTCAGGGATTTCAAATCATTTTATATAGTAGACAATGGAAGTCCGAACTAGTGAAACTCATCATGAAACATTGTCAATCACCTTCAAACAAACAAATAGGTATATGTGTGACTGAGATTTTGTATACAGGTTTTTTAATTTTGGGCTTCGTTATTAACTCGTTATTGAATCACTGAATTAGTAGCTGAATAATTTGTATCAAACAGACCAATATCTCTTCTTGAGATACAATTAGAAATTAAGTGCTGGTATGTAGGTAACTATGTAGGTAACTATGTATGTAAGATCGCTAGGTTCCCGAGATATAGGTACCAAGTAAAACACTGATAGCTGCCCAGAAAAGTCAAATATCATTGTATCGGAGATTTTGTTTATCCTTTATCCACATAATGTATAGTTTCAATATAAGCTTTTATTTAACTTGCCATATTTGTATGTATGTATATTANGAGATTTTGTTTATCCTTTATCCACATAATGTATAGTTTCAATATAAGCTTTTATTTAACTTGCCATATTTGTATGTATGTATTTTAGTTCGTGACAGATCTTGCAACTGAATTTTGAAGCAGGTAACCTGCAACCGATTGAGCTACAATTTCACAATTACGTATAATTTGGATGTATGCATGATACATCCGAAATGGCGAACTGTTCTTTAGAAACCCCAATGATATGGGTATCGAATTAAAAAGTACAGAAAAGAAAGCGAATAATATGACGTCACACTAAATCCAATTTGGTGTATCGTCCAAGAAGGCGAACTAGTTTTTTCATACTTCCCCATGGGTATCAAATAAAAGGATTGGTTGAAAATAGTATGGAAAATAAAATGATGTCACCTAAATTCAATAGGGCTGACTCCCGTAGACGGTGGACTAATTGTTTTATTCAATCCCATGATATGGATATCAGATATTCAGGCAATCTGAAATTAATGAAAATGAAAACAAATATTGGGCCAAATTCGATTTATCAAAAAGGTATCAAGTTTCACAGTGAGCTACCGAATGCTTTGAAAAAAATAAACAAAAATTCCGAATTAATTTGAAAAAATATTTATTGTGTCCAGCGTAATTTCATAGAACTAATAAATAAATAAGGGAATTTTGAACGGGAAACATTGTTTCACTTTCCAAGCCTACTGAAGTATCGCCAAGAATTCCTCTATTGATGAACACCATTTCAAAACAATAATTTTATATATGAGGAAAGCATTTCTCAGCAGGTTTCAGGGATTTCAAAACAGCAGAGTAACTTCAGCATTTGTCAAAAATCCTCTTGATGCAACAGAGTTGAAACTTTCTCCTTTTGAAATTGACATCGGTAGCTTTGAAATACAATTGCTGGATTTAAAAAAAAGGAGATATGGCGGTCTAAAATCGAACGTCTTTGTGTTGAATTGGAAATATTGGAGAAGAAAAAATGTAATCTTAGTTCACAACACAAGTGGTCTGCTTTGAATGACTTGGAGAAGGAAGACATGATCATTTTCAACGCTTGGAATAGTATTCCTTACTCTTATGATCAGCTGAAAAAGCTCGCGTTTGCTGTTCTTTTCCTTTTCAGTTCTACATATAAATGCGAACAATCTTTTCCAAACATGAACATTATCAAGAGTAAATTGAGAAGTCGTCTTATCGATGAGATAGAATCATGTCTAATTTTTCAAATTTGACACAATCCTAATATTTCAAAGAAGTCAACTCACGCGATTCTTTGCTATAACCTCACTTATTTGTTTCTGAGAAAAAATAATATTATTGGCAACATCATTTAGTAAGGATCAAATAATGACTAAAATTAATAGAAATAGTGACCAATGCCGCCATCTTGCGGCAACGTCAGAACTACCCCACTCGGTCTAAAACAATTTCTGAAACAAAACCGCATCCCAGCAATTTTCTATAAATCCTTAGACAATGTCCCCAACATTCACACCAGTTTACAAGGATATATTTACTTTATTACACATTGCTTGAAATGTTAAAATCATGTTTAAATAAAACAAAGACTACACATTAGTCGTGTAATTATGTTTAGATTGAATGAAATGCCCAACTGAGTTGGACTCCAAAAATTAGTTATAGACTCATTTTTGTTGCTCCTCTCCACGGAAATCTTTAGTAAAAGGCGAAAGATTTATTCGCTCTGAAGAGAAACCAGAGTGACTATTAACGGTTTTTCAAGAATACTTGGCAGGCTTCGCTGATTAAGATGTTGCGAACCGAAAGTGCTGCGCTCTATCGGATACGGAATGAATTCCTATTTCCTGTAGTGTTTCGTAACTGTTCATAATCGTAACTGGCCACAGCCAGCTGTTTATGGTCCAGTCATCTTAGTCAAAATTAGGTAAGTATCTCGAAATTTGAGATACCATACTATAAACTCGTATAAACTTCTATTTTGACAACCAAAGTTGTCTCAAAACTTTCATATGGTACTTATGGTACGGTGTACGCGACTATTCAAATCTAAGGTCGTAAGTCACATTGCACATTGCACAGATATTTGCTCATTTTTTGCAAATATCTCGTTTTCTATGGGTTTTTCGCTGTTTATATTCACTACCAATGTTGTAGAGGATAAAATGTTCTATGAGTTTTGTTCAAAAAATTTTTCTTTACGTTGAATCGTTTTCGAGATAGATGGCGCGCGGTTAGAGCTTCATTTAAGGTCATCCGGTAGTCCCGGTCAAAAACACGCCATANAGATGACTGGACCATAAACAGCTGGCTGTGGCCAGTTACAATTATCAACAGTTACGAAACACTACAGGAAATAGGAATTCATTCCGTATCCGATAGAGCGCAGCACTTTCGGTTCGCAACATCTTACTCAGCGAAGCCTGCCAAGTAGTCACGAAAAAATTAGTCAGTTACTCTGGTTTCTCTTCAGTGCGAATAAATCTTTCGCCTTTTACTAAAGATTTCCGTGGAGAGGAGCAACAAAAATGAGTCTATAACTAATTTTTGGAGCCCAACTCGTTTGGGCATTTTATTTAATATAAACACATTTACACGAATAACGTAGATAAAGTTATGCAATATAGTATCCGAATCTACCTGTGGTGAATGTGGTGTGCGCTTTTGTTTCAGAAATAGTTTTACGAGTTATTAGACTGAGTGGGGGTAGTTCTGACGTTGCCGTAAAATGGTGGCTAGAGATGGCACTGAACAGTTAAATTTGAAGAACTTGTTCGAACTGTTCCAGTTCTTATCGCAAACCTGTTCTTTTTAACTGTTCATGTTCACCTATTCTTAAATGACGTCTCATCTTGCGTCATGGTCACTTTTTAGCGTTCGGTTCCGAGTGGTTCCGAATTTCCATACGTTCCCTCCATTCGTCTTGTTCTAGAGTTTTATTTCAGTAACAGGCTGAATTTTAGTGTAAAATAAATGAAAAATTAAGCCCTATTTGGATTTTTTTTTCANTTCTCTAACGCATACGTAATCGGAAGGCAGGCTCCTCCTCTCTCGTTGGACAGACGACCAGGTTTAGTGTGCGTTAGACATGTACTGTCAACAAGCAAGCACGTATTATTCGTTGATTATGTGAAACGTGGCTTGAAATTTATGATACTAAATTTGTGTTTGTACATTATTAGAATCATTATTTAACCCTATAAAAGTAACAATTGGCATATGGTAGCTTTATTATATGTACATACACAAAATAATCAATAATAGCTATTTATGATATGAGTGTTAAAAGTAAGGTTTTATTTTGTGAGTGAACAAAGTAAAACATAACATCATACACAGACACAAACACAAACATAAATATCGTACACAATTTTTTGTACAACTGTCCCGTTTTCACAATAAAATAGATAAATGTAATATTTCTATAAAAACACATTTTGACATCTCTTGTCAGTTGACTATTTTCATGTTATCGGTCGGTCGGTAAACGGTCGGTTCAACGTGGTTGCTTTGTTCACTCACTCAAATCGATCGCCGTGTTGGTCGGTGGTTGAAGCCCCAGGCTGTACGATCAATTCTCACTTGCTATTGTCCAACCCGTGTTAGGAATAACACGTTAAAAGGTAAGATCTCGTTAGTCCTTAGCTCGCACAAGTTTCAACTTCTGAGGGTTGTCGTGCATAGGGGTGCGACAGCTGGTTAAGAAAAACATATTTTAAACAGAATTGCTGTGAAGTGGCCGTGTCAGGTGACGCCGAATCACCTGGTTGCCAACAAACAGTATTGTTAACAGCTCACGCGATTTATTTAAAGTCACATTTAAAATTCTTGCTAGTGTTCAATGTCTTGCATAATGAAGAACAATAGTGAGGAATTGTGTGTTTCTGACGATATTGAAGAGGCTGCAAAAAGAGCTTCAACTGAATTGTTACCAAAAATATCGGCTCAGCAGTACGACATCGCATATTCTAATTTTTTTTAATGGAGTAGACTTAAAAACGTCCATGGAAGTTTCATCGAAACCGTCTCCTTAGCCTATCTAGAAGAGAAATCAAAAATATGGAACTCCTCAACTTTGTGGAGCAAGTTTTCAATGATAAAGCCAAGTGCGCTCGTTAAAAATGGTGTTAATACAAGAAAATATTTCAAGATAATAACATTCTTGAAGCGTAAAAATAAAAGTTATAAGCCCAAAAAATCAAAAACTCTTACGTTTGAATCCAGAGGTTTATAAATGAGTCGCATGATGAAAAATATTTGATGATAAAAGTTGCTACTATTTTTGGAATATATGGTACCTGCCGGCGTGAAGAGCTGTATCATTTATTAATAGAAGACATTAAATTAATGGAAAAATCATTGATTGTTGAAATTCCGAATACAAAAACGAAAATAGGTCGTTCTTTTTGCATTGTTGGAAAAAACATTGACTATTTTGATAAATACTTGGCATTACGCCCTTCTGTTATCAATCATCAACGTTTTTTCTGAAATACTCAAATTATAAATGCAGTGCCAACCCAGTTGGTATAACCACGTTTGGGAAAATGCCCTCTACTATTGTTGAGTTTCTGAACCTCCCGGAACCAAAGGAATATACAGGTCACTGTTTCAGAAGGTCTTTTGCTCCTTTGCTAGTAGAATCAGGAGCAAATATAACGGATATCAAGAAGCACGGAGGGTGGAAGTCTACAACAGTAGATGAGGGTTACTTTGATCAATCTATTTCTTATAAAAAAGCTATTGCTGAAAGAATAATCCCAACAGCTAGCTCCAGCGTTACAGCATCGTCCTCTTCACTTCAAGAATTAAATATTAATGCCCATGAAATTGTCAACTCAGATAGTTAAAATATATTACAAGGCTGTTCAACATCACAAGGTATTAATATCAGCAGATGTTCTAATTGTACTTTTCATATTAATGTTCATAAATAATAATGATATTAATGAATATAATACATTTGTAACAGAATTGAATTGTATCTATATCTATTGTTCATAATGAAACTTCCTTGAAAATTGAATAATAATGTTTTGTTCATTGCTATTTGATCGAGAAAAATCGTGTTGAAAATACTTTTAACAGTAGTGTTGAAGTTATTTTAGTACTCTTGACAACCATTAAAAATGTCACTTTCATTAACAGTTGTACAAAAAATACTTTTGTCGAATTTCTACTAAGATTATTATTCGTTACTACCGGTTTCGGTTTGTTACAACATTCTCAAGTAACTCCAACAAACCGAAACGGTTCGTAACAAAAGTAGTTTCTTTATCCTATTTTCAATATGAATATCATCAACATAAGTCGATGATTTCCGATAATTGAAAATCTACCTTGCACTGACGAGATATAAATTATAGAATATTCGTTCATGATTTCAGTTTCACTTGATAATATAAACTTGATTTACAATAAAAATCATTTCATGGGGCTATAACGAATATCAAATTTTCCCTAAATTAGAGCAACTACTCTCATCTATAAACACTTTGTTTATCTAGAGAAACATCAACTCTTGTGCACAAACATTCCTTATGCCATCGTTACTACTAAAGTATTTTACCAGTTTTATTCTTTTTTTCCTTCTTCGCAATTTTTCCCTTTTCTCCATTTGGATCTAATTTAGCTTTTTTACTTTCAAAAACTGACCATGTCCAAGTGTCAAATTTGTTTGTGATGATCAAAACTTTATTGAAAATTTGGTCTATTTTATCGCTTAGAGGATTTCCATCACTTTCAACATTTTCCAGCAAATTTATTACGGATTCATTAATTTCAGGATCTTCTATTTCATATCTTGCCAAAATTTCCTTCGTTATTGTATCGTCGTTTGGCATTTTTGTAAGGAGCCCCGTATAATAATCATTCAAAAATATGAATGTGTCCGCGTGTCTGTCAATTTCCAGTTGTAAGGCGTTCACGTAGTTGTTCATTAATTCTATAAGTTGTTTTGGAGCCCACCCTCTCTTCAGGAAAAAGCACCGTTGTTGTTCAGTCTCCATCATTTTTCTGTCGCAAACTTCGATCAGTTTTTCTCTCATTTCATCGACTCTAAAGAATGAATATATCAAATATTAATACATAAAAAATGCTTTAATGTCAGACTTCCACTTGGCAGTTCACAAAACCGCGAAACGTGTTTCGATATACAATAGCGAAGTGTTTTTAATGATGTTATTAAAGTTGAAATTTCGAGTTTTGAAGTCGTAATTTCCAAAAAACAAATAATAAAAATATGTGGCTATTTTCTGCGCTTTCGTATGATACAGTATCAAATGCTTTTTAAAATCTAAAGTCAGCTTAATTTTCAATTTTTGAAATGACTTCCATTGCAGCTGCCATCTCTAGACTTGCGGAAACCATACTGACCATTATATAAACTTTGGCAACTTTCATTATATTTTAATATTATAGCATTTTCAAAAGATTTCTAAAAAATAAATAATAAATTTGGTGAAATTTCAGTCTTGACTGCTTTCACAATATCCATACTAAACTAATATATTTACACGTGCCAGGTTATCTATTTCTTTTTCAATGCCAAAGATAAAGTGGACAAGTTGGAGAAATCTGGAGTTTATAAGTGTCGGGACTGTAATAGTGTTTGTATGAGACAATGTGGTCGAAATTTCCAAAAACGGTATGCTGAACATGAAAAGTCCTTCAGACTATAGGTAAAAATGATTCGACGTTTTCAAACCATTTCTTGGCATGCAACCACAAGTTCCCGAATCTAAACGATACGGATATTTTGTACTATGCAAGGAAGGGTTGCAAACTCAATTATCTGGAATCCTTGGAAATCCACAAGCATGAACATTACGGGTGCAACCTCTTAAATGATAAAATCGATTTAGTTCACTCACCGGTTTTCAAATTAGCATATTGACATTGTCACTAGTAAACAAAATCCAGGTACTCAATGAAGCAAAGTATTACCTCTATTATTACCTACAGTGGTGTTATATAAGAGCTAATGTAATCAATCATTGGTAGTATAATGTATAAGTTTGAAAAACTGCAGTAACGTTAGTTACAAATAAAAGTGGTAAAAAACATAGAAAGTTTCAATTCTCTTTTCTTCATTATGATTTCCTACCACGTTGTAACGGCTATATCCATCAATTTATTGAAATATATACACATTTTTGAAGCCCTGATATATTCGGAAAGGTGTGCCAGCGTTAATAACCAATGACCACTGCACACACCGTGGGGTAAGTTATAATTAGGTAAGTGATCATTAATTTGACACTGATCATAGCTAAAATTAGTAAAAACAATCAGGCGCGGTCGGTCATGAAAGGTATGGTTATTGTAACTATATTATTATGATTAATAAAATTGGAACCTTTAGTGTAAGATGAGTCTAAAAATAGACTTTTATCTTACCGCACATGATAACGACACCAATTTCGCGTCATCTACTGCTGATACCAACCTGGTTAGCGAAACGCGCGTCGGTATATAGTGTTTTTGTTCTGGTGTGGGAGAAGTGTTTCCTTTATAGAGACATTAATATCTGGTCTATACAATACTATGTTCAACTGTTGTCAAATTAAAATTATAAACATTAATTGTGGAGTTCCTGTACATTGTTCCTCATTCAGAATCTCTCATATTCATTCCTTCAGTATCGAAAGTTTTTGATTTATTAACGAAAAACTTAACGCCTTCTCTTCTCTTCTCAATTTGTTAATAACAACTGCGATTTTTTGTCTGTTGGAAAATCAATAAAATATATCTTTCTACACGTCATTCTGAATCCAATGAGCTATGGTACATATTTTTAGTAGTTTTATATCCACTGAACACACATTTCAAATAGTCAACTAAACTAATCATGATAAATCTAATTTGCGTGAAATAATTGAAAACGCTACTTCAACTACTTGTAGTTTCAGTCATCTCCCGATGATGCTAACTTAGTAAGCGAAATGCGCGTCGAACGACATCATTTTTGTTGTGGTGATGGAAAAGTGTTTTCAATAGATAGACCAATCATGTTTATAGCTTCTAGAATATAGGTCACAGTCACATAAAGCACAATATTTCTATAGTGCTATAACATGAGCTGATAAGTCCCAGGCCAGAGGAAAAAAACGCGTTTTTTTTGTTCAAAATTGGCTTTATTCATCAATGTAATAATCTCCATCAAGAGCCACACAAGCATTCCAGCGCCGCTCTAATATCCCAATACAACTTTTGTGGAACGATTTATTTTTTGCCTCAAAATAGGCCTTATAGTTTCAGCAATAATATCTTCCTTCGAACGAAATTTCTTACCAATGAGCATTTTTTCGAGGTCTGCAAACAACCAGGGAGCCAAATCCGCCGAATACGGTGGATATGGGAGCAATTCGAAGTTCAATTCATGTAGTTTTGTCATTATTTCAATTGACTGGTGACACGGTGCGTTGTTTTGATGGAATTTTTTTTCTTTGTCATATGCGGTCGTTAATTTGCAATTTCTGTCTTCAAACGCTCCAATAACGCTATATAATATTCATCGTTGATGGTATTTTCCTTCCCAAGATAGGTCGATGAATATTACACCACGCACATCCCAAAATACCGAGGCCATAACCTTTCCAGCCGATTTTTGTGCTTTCTGGCGCTTTGAACGAGGTTCACCAGTTGCTCTCCACTCAGATGCCGATCGTTTTGATTCCGGAGTGAAGTGATGGATCCATGTTTCATCCATTGTCACATATTGACGCAAAAATTCCGGTTTATTATGTTTAAGCATGGCCAAACACTGCTCAGAATCATCAAGACGTTCTTGTTTTTGGCCAACAGTGAACTCGTGTGGCACCCTCGTTGAACAGGGCTGTCTCATAATCAAATTCTCATGCAATATAAAGCCAACACGTTCTTTTAATATCTTTACAATATCAGCTAACTCACGCAGTTTCAGTTTTTGATCATTCAAAACGATTTTGTGTTTTTTTTTTAATATTTTCTTGTGTCTAATGCTTTTTCAATGTTGTTTACTCTGTTACATTCCATTAAATTTTTTTACTAACAAAAATAAACAAATATGATCTTTGCTTACAATAAAATTCTTTTTTTGCTACAATTTTTACTAAGCAATTATTATATCCGTTCTTGTGATGCACTGTTTGTAACCTTTGGTGTAGTAATGAATATAACTGGACTCCTATCCTAACACCAAACCTTTATTTTTAACACCTCGACACCTGTTTCAATCACTAAATGACCATCTTCAAGAGGAAGATTAAACTTATTAATCTTAGGATAGAACTCCAGTAATATTCATTATTCCCGTTTTTTTATTGATTAAAAGCTTTCATTTAACTCGACTTGTTTGTATGTTAACAAATCTTGCAAGTTTAATTTGACCCACTTCCTGGTATCCGATTGACCTGAAATTTTGCATGCTGGTCCAGAACCGATGACAATGCATGTTAATCATAAACGTGACCTGATGTTGCTGCCAGGATCGGCTCCGTACGATAGATCTTCACAGCGGTAAATAGCAGGGACACGAAATTTTGTATACGCATTCGTTTATGACATAGGACTTGTCGGGTTTGAAATTTATTGCAGTACCTAGTTGATGTGTCAGAATGTTTCTTAATTTAAATTTCATCTGACTGAATATGTAGAGATTTCTTCTAGGCATCGCGACAAACTTTTATTATAATTTCAATTTTGTAAAGTCATAAATGAATGTGGTTAATGTGATTTGAAATTTTATTTTGATCTTTTTAGGGCACTTAAATAAAAGCTTGTTTTAAACGTTTTTTTATCATTATTTTATGATCTTTGATTTCTGTACCAGTTAAACTTTCCATTCCATTCAGCAGACTTTTTGAAATTGAGTAGTGGAGGAACGTGAAATCAAAGATTATTTGTCGAAATGTTTGTCAAAATTTTTGTTAGCCTCACTGTAATTCTCGGCAGTTTTTTGGTATAGGTACTTGCTGATGACTGCAGAAAGGCAACAAGTTTTAAAGAAAATACTCACCGACAATGAAGCTCAGCTTTGAATTCCTCATCACTTCTGATTTCATCATCAAACTCATTATAGGTTTGCTGAAACTTTCTCAAATAAAGCTGCTTGTCGTCCGGTTTATCAGTATTGATTTTCATGAAATCCTCGAGAAATTTAACAGCGGGCATGATTGGATTCAAAATGAGCCGCTGCATGAACATCACCTGATTGAAATCTCTAATGTACACAGTTTCAGTGTTCTCCCATATTCCTGCCAGTGATATTTGAAATTCTTCGGGTAGTTTGATGCGAATATATTCCCAACCCGGTTCTCCGGGTTCGGCAATCCTTGTTTCTTGTTCTTCTTCGACCTCCTCATAAATTATTTCTGGTATTTGTGTAAATTTATCTTCGTGTACTATGATAACAAGATCTGATTTATCCTTTTTTCCCTTCTTGCCAAGTTTTTCTCTCTTCGGTTCTGAAAAAGTATAAACCTCAATTAATTTTCTTCATCATAATTAGACATTTTATTTAAGAAAAAACAACGATAAAAATAAAAACAACAATAAAAATTGATTGGCGCTATGATTCGTATTCTATAAAAAAATGTAATAACGAGAAAAAGCATTGAAAACAAACAATACTCTAGCTCCAAAATAAAAGGGCCTGAAGAAATCTTTTTTAACAAGTACTGCAAGTGCATGGGCACAAATAAAAGTTGATAGAATCATAAGCGAGGTACAGTCGAAGTAAACGATATTGTGCATACTCAATGTTGTCGGCACTCTCAAACAATACATAAAAATGAACCGGCTGCGAAGTAGTCCACGTGGACCGTAGAATCGGCAGGTCCTATTGGATAATTTTTACTAACTGAGTTTTATGATTGGCTGAAGAGTCATAAAATTAAATTTGAAGTCATGTTACGGTGACGAATGGAAATCGGGAATGCAGGAATGGTTATCGTCGTCGTGTTCAGTTCAGGAACTGATCGCGATTTGAGTGTTGAAATTTGATATTGGTTGGTGCAGTTATAATTACTTAAAATTTTTGTTATCTGTTTAAAATGTGGCGTCCTTGGACAAGTACTAATAGTAATAACGAGTGTGAAAACAACGCAGACTTTTACCATCGCTATTGGATTAATCCAATGGCGATGGTGAACAATGCGAAAAAGAGATACCAGTGAATAAGATTCGGATGCATTTGATTATTGAAAAACAGAGACTATGTTCAATGTATATTTGGTTTCGAGGGAAACAAACTTTTACAAGCAACATCAGATTTGATCGAAATTCCTTTCTCAACTGTACGTAAAATAGTCAAAAACAAACCTTATGAACGCAAGACTCGATATGATACAGGATTTCCAAAACCTTCAGATGTTCATCTAATGAAATCATTGAAAAACAAAATATACGACTGTTACAAAAGCAATGAGATTCCTACAACTGAAATCATAAGGAAGAAATTGAATACTTCCGGCCATACGTGAGCTGCTGTGATAAAACAGCAGTTTTGGCATTGCGTAACAAATACTCAGAACAAATAACTAAATATAGACAAGAACAACGGCAAATTTTCTATTTGGACGAAACTTGGTATGACGCTCACGACACAGTTACGAAAGGGTGGACTGATGGTTCGAGAATGTGTACGCTTAACATGCCTGCAAACAAAGGATCGCGACTAATCATTGTGCATTGCAGAGGAAATAAAGGATGGGTTCTGAATTCTTTGAAATTATGTGTAAAAAAACTTGAGGACTGCAATGTCGACTATCATATTAAGAACATGGAAGCTAATATTTTTGAGGAATGGTTTGAAAACACATTGGATGCGAATAGTGTAATAGTTCTTGACAACGCTTCCTATCATTCGCGACAGCTCATCAAAGTACTGAATGTGTACGCCTAAAATTCCTGCAAACAAAATTTGATAAGAAGGTACTTGAGGTAATTAAGTATCTAATATTACCAAAAACGTGTTTCTGGCTATTGACCTCATCAGCGCGGTGCAGCCAATTACAAAGATAGACAACAACTGGTTACCAAAAATGAAAAAAATCACATATGCACGGTGTCACCACGTAGGCAGCTATAGCTACCTGCATGACTTGCGGGTCCAGGATATAAATACAGAGATATAAATGGTATCGCGAGTGTATGATATAAATCAAAAGGGGGAAATTCGTGGACAACACTCAAAAAAGGGGGCAAAACACAAATGTGTAGTTATCTCCTGTTGGTGATACCGTGTAAATGTGATGTTTTTCATTTTTGGTAACCAGTTGTTGTCTATCTTTGCAATTGGCTGCACCCGCTGATGGTGCCAATAGCCATAAACACTTGTCCTCGATTTACTCCCATTTTTGCAGTGTTCTGTCCACGAATTTCCCCCTTTTGATTTATATCATACACACTCGAGAACATCTATCTCTCTCTCTCTCTATATATTGTATATAGTTATTGTGATTTTTATATAATCAGAAGTGATTATTGAATAACGAAATTAGTTAGCTCCCTAACTATAGTATTAAAGGGGAGCTGTTGGAAGGTAGGTTGCACTATATCGTTTACTTGAACTATACGATGCATGAACAGTGAATCACTCATTATTGAGAAAAACCTGCGCGATTAAACCCGTCATTTCCACCACAACTGATGTTACTGAATTTTATTCATTTACAAAATCCTTAAGTCTGGTCGATGCTCGAAAAACACGGGTATTTCAAAACTCCCGCGTTTATTCTTATTCAAAACATCCTATGTGTCTTTAGACAATGGTACGGGCATATGGGTATCGATCTGTGTTACTTACATATACAGCGGTAGATGGGGCGGTATTTTAAAAGCGACATACCGCTCGTTTCATCACAGCTCTGTTCAATACATACTGCAAAAATATGTCTTATAGTTATCGCTTCTCGGCCCTTGGCTAAGATCAAAGTGTAGTATCTGTTCTTATCAGCTTAATATCTGATACGCCCCGCATGCGGGGCCAGTATATTAAACTTATTTTTGGAAGTTGATGGAGGGTTAAGGGGCTTGCTCCACCTCCGTCGCGGGTTGGCCCGGTATTGCAGTACCGCCGGGATCGGCCCATTTTTTTTAAATACAAACTTAATCTATTCATAGTATTGTTCTGTGAACAGGTATTATGAGATATCCGTCTTACTTGATCCTCATGAAATAGATATCCAATGTACTTTTCGGAATTCCATTCACAAAGACGCTGAGCGCACAATTCGGAAACAATTCTTGTTCCATTCATCAACATTAATATCGTCTTTATTATTTTCTAATACATTTAAAGCAAATTAATCAGGAACAGTTCATTTATTATATGAAGATAAAAGGCGAAGTTCAATTTACATGATGACAAGTCATCATTCAGTTGCTCTTCCACTTAACCACACCGTTCGTTGAAAGGTGTGACTACTAAAAGTACCTCTGTTAACTACAAAAGTTATGGGTAGATGGCGTGATTTGTTGAACGCAACGCGTTGCATATTCTTACACAGTCTCAATCGATAACACTCGGTGAACTAACTATTTTCTTTATCGCTTCTCGGCCCTTGGCTAAGATCAAAGTGTAGTATCTGTTCTTATCAGCTTAATATCTGATACGCCCCGCATGCGGGGCCAGTATATTAAACTTATTTTTGGAAGTTGATGGAGGGTTAGGGGCTTGCTCCACCTCCGTCGCGGGTTGGCCTGGCATTGCAGTACCGCTGGGATCGGCCCATTTATTAAATTAAAACAAAATATTATGACGTCGACAGTTGACGTGAGTAATTGTTTCATCGCTCAATTTTTTTCAATAATTTGACTGACCACCGTTTTGCAGCGTAGCTCGCTTAGTTATTTATGATTCAATTAAATTTCATTTGTGTTCGTTCATCTTTAAGGTTTCGGACCCAGCTGTTGCCAAAACAGTTTTCTTCAAGCCCCTTATTTTTGGTGCTACAGTAACATTTCCTTTTTTGTTAATAGATTTTTTAATAGGATGCGAATAATCCTGTTATTCACAATAATCATTCAAGAACCATTTTTCACTTTTTTGTATATACATACAAAAAAGTTTATGGAAAATGTTTTACTCAAAATTCCCTCATTTATTCTTGGGTCAAATATTCTCTGAAATGAGTTGAGGACCAAGTTTACAGCTATCGTTGATCAGCTGTTATAGCAATTTGTTTATGAAAATTCAAGATTTTTTTGATATTTTCGTATTTGTGTGACTCAAGTATAACTTGTTACCTGAATGCAAATACTGACCTTCAATACAACTTTGGTCAGTAATAAAATATCTGTTGTAATATCTCTTATAAAATAATCTACAGTTTCGGCTTCTAATATGTGCAGAACATTTCATGAAATCCGACATCAGTACCCAGGCTAAATGGTATTATGGATTTATGTTATACATATCAATAAAACAAAAACATTCCTGTACTCAAAATCATCAATATTATATTAGTGAGTTTACGTTAAAGTTGTGTAAAACAACAAAAAGTTTACTTTGCTTCATTCCTGTCATGAACATTATTATTATTTCAGAGGATAACTAGAAATTTCACATTTTATTATCGTAACTTTATCTCAACTCTATCGAATAAACCGAATTCTTTCCATAATTCTTACTTCGCATAATGTGGTAGAGTTGCCAACGTACTAATAATTTCGGCAACGGTCTCAGTTTCGGACTAAACCGAAACTTCCTAATTAGTATTATGTTTTGAGAGAAAAATAAAGAAAACGTTATTATAATCAGTCAGTGTTTATTTTTTTATCTTTAAATCACAACGTTATGCAGTCTTCGACATTTTTACTTATTGATAGGTAATCAACCCTTATTTAAGAAAAAATATTAATTGCACCTTAAAATACTTAAAATAGGTGAGGTGTTTATTTGAGTTGGTGAAGTCTTTTGAATATTATTGCTTCCACGTGCCTACATGATTAGGCACGTGGAAGCGACAAAATGTCTTCATCGCTTGTATGAAATTCAACGCGCCGAACATGACCGGTCACAGCGCGGGAACTCCCGAATGCAGTTTCGGTGGTAGTTTCGGCAGGTTTGGCACCGAAACCCGTTTTTTTGCCGAAACTCAACCGAAACCTAACTTTCGGTCGGACACTAGTGTTGTCATATCAGTGAAAGTAGAATCACTCTCTGAAGTGTTGTACCGGAGTTGGGATACACCCTGTATATAAAAGGGCAACTCCGCTCAGAATAACAGGCAAAACTTGAAGTTGTTATTTAATTTTGAAATACCCTATGGAAACAGCAAGCTGCGAAAAATATTTTTCATAAACATTCTTTTACCTTTTGTGAATATACATAAATTGAAATCAGCTGCTTTAGTTATACAATTGAAGTTGAGTAATATTAATTCTGAATGTAGACAAATTATTGAAAATATTTCTTAATAATTTTCATATTCTTCCAAAAGGTCAGCGAATACAGAAAATG